TCTTTTAAGTTAACAGCTACTAGCAAAAAGCATCTCAGAAAAAGATATCTGCTCATAAAACTAAATTAATATGGTACAAAGTTAATAAGGGCAATTACAAGCACATCCATCAGCTGAGGATGAGGATGACAAAGCTCATAATTAGTTTTTGTTAATTTTCTAGGGACACAAAAATGTGTTCTTTATTCTCAGGATATATATTTCTATATACCCTTTAAATCAAGCCTTTTAATTATACTATTCAGCTTCTGAAATGACCTTATTTTTTCGTCTCCTTGATCTAATTCTGACACAAATGTATTAAATTTTCCTGCAGAACTGTATTTTTTTAAAATCAAGTTCTCAAATTTATACAGTTTTGCTCTATGTGTTTAGCAGGCTTAATACTATTAAACTTCATAAATTGTGTCTTTTATCAATATATAAAGTTCATCTCTTTTTTGATTCTTGAATTTACTTTCAATGCGTTTTCTGCAATATTGAAATTTCTGCTCTTTTTTTTCCCCCCGATAGCTTTTTGGATAACCTCTAAGATGATTCTAGTGAACAGCATATGGCTGGATTTTGTGCTTGGCTCCATCTCTGCCTTTAGATAAGAAAAGTCAGTCTATTAACCTTATAGTGCAATGACTGATAATTTATTGCATTCTTTATATATTACCTTATATTTCTTATATATTTTACATCATGGCTTTCTCTGTTTCTTTTCTCAGGATTTTTCTGAGTTATTTCCAAGTTTATTTGCTATTTGTTTAGCCCTCTCTTGTATTGATTTTTTAGATGGGGGAGACCTAAATGATGTAGACTTAATTCGTGCAAATCCTCGAATATTTATTTCACCAGGACAGGTGACTATATTTTGGCTGATAGATTGCCGCCCTTGTATTTTACTAGTCTGTTATTTAACTGTTTTCTAGCTTCCAACATTACAAATGAGAAGTTTAATGTCATTTTTCTTTTTAGCTTTCCTGTACTTATCGCCTGAAAGTTTGATTTTTCTCTTCATCCTTAGTATGTAGGAATTATATCTGTACATGCCTAGTGTGCGTTTCTACTCACATTAATGCAGATTGAAATATCATGAGTTCTTTAGATCTGCAGATTCATGCTTTTAAAAAATTTTCCAACTTAGAGAAAGTTCTATTATGTTGTTTTTCATTTATTTCTTCACTTCTCTCCTCTCCTTTTTTTTTTCTTTCCTTTTAGAACTTTTGTGTCTGCATGCATATTAGGTCTCATAGACCTATCCTTTAAGTCTATAATTTTTTTTCTTCAAGATTTACCTCTGTATTTTTTTTCCCTTCTGTGCTTTAGGGTATTTCTTTAAATCACCTAGTAATGTGTTGGCCAAAAATTTTGGATTTTTTTGTTTCAGTACAAAGGCTATAGCAGTGCTTAATTGTCTTTAATTTCATTTGAAACAATTTTGTTAGATTGTATCTTGACAGCCATCATATCAGCTTGCATTTAAAAAACTTATCAAAATTGGTGAATTTTTGTGCAGCCATTTTAATATTGAAGATGGAGGAAGATACACAACATTTTGGGTATATTATGCTTTATTGTGTTAAGAAAGATAAAAACAACTGAAATGCAAAAAAAATGATTTGTGCAGTGTATGGAGAAGGTGCTGTGATGGATCAAATGTGTCAAAAGTGGTCTGCGAAGTTTCTTGGTACTATTGACATTTTGGCCAAATAATTCTTTGCTGTGGGGCTGTCTTGTGCATTGGAAGATGTTTAGCAGCACCCCTGGCCTCTACCCACTAGAAGCCAACAGTGGGAGACAACCAATATATTCAAAATATCGAAATCAATAAAATTACTGGTGAAAATGAAAATGTCTTTTATTTTATGGAAGAAATCATACAGCTTTTTTGGGTAACACACTACTTGGGTCTCAAAGGTGATCATCTCCAACTCAATTGATAAAATGCTTAATTAGAAAATACACATAAATATAGATATTCTTTTAAAAATAAAATTTAAAAGAATATATTTAAATTCCAAAAAGTCTTCATGCTATACTTGATGTTCTTCATTATTAATCCATAATCTGCTATTCTAGCTGTTATATTTCCCTAGGTGCACATTCTGTTTGTTTCTACTCACCATTTTCCATCTGGCAACTGGATCCCTTAGATGTTTTGTTTTTTGTTTTTTGTTTTTTTTGTCAGTTCATTGAGGTTCAGGTCTGCTTAAAGGAATAATTTCAGTGGCAGCAGTCTCACAGTTTGGGGAAGACAAAGAGGCAAGAGGTCTTTACTACCGCTGGCTATAAAATGGAAGCATGAAACCTGCCATTTTCCAAATGAGGCACATGTATAAAACCATCTCGTTCCCTAGTCACCTTATAATATCTCAGACCCAGTACAAAGAACAGTCAGCCTACATGTTCATCATCTTCTTGGTCTCCTGAGAGTCAAAGAACCCCAGTAAATTTATATAGGTCTTCTAAAGAAGTGGTCCCCAAGTTTTTTGGCACCAGGGTCTGGTTTCATGGAAGACATTTTTTCCACAATCTGGGGTGGGGGGCAGGGCAGGGCAGGTGGGAATGGTCTCAGGATGATTCAAGAGCATTACATTCAAGCTCACCTCCTGCTGTACAGCTCAGTTCCTAACAGGTCTGGACCAGTACCACTTCGCAGCCTGGAGGTTGGGGATCCCTGCCCTCAGGGTCCAAAGACCTGAGATCCAGGCTCTTTTCAAGAAAGCATTTCTTGAAGTGGTGACTTTCGAGCTCTCACAGTGTGGCTCTGTTGCTGTTCTCCATGTTCTTCTCTAGCCCATAATTATGGATGGAGAGAAAGAGGTCCAACATCAAGTCTCTAAACCAGTGCTCTAAGCTCAAGTTTTCTCTCCATAAGCCCCAGCTCTCTATTTAGGAGAAGCAGACAATTAGAACAGGAAATAAAAGGGCTCAATAGGAAGCTCTTTCTGAGAATCTCCCCCATGATCCAGATCTAACTTTAACAGAGAGCTACTGCCCTGTTCTATGAATGACCTTATGAAACAGGAGACCCATTCATTTTCTGTTACATGAAAAGCCCCATTTTTCCCCAGTGTATCCCAACCTTGGCAGGAAGACATTATTAGTGTATCTGGGGTGAAAGCCCTTAAGGTTTAGTGTTTTTAATTAATTAGCAAAGAATCAGTTGTTTGAAATAAAACCCTGGGTTCCATGATCATCTCAAAATAAGTTCACAAAGCCCAAAGTCTAGGGGACTCAGTTACACCTCTGAGATCCTCTGATACACAATAGTTGTGTCAAAGCACACTTTAAAAATGAGACTATAAGGTAAGCCCTGGCTGAGTGGCTCAGATGGTTAGATCATTGTCCCATCAAAAGGTGTGGGCTTGATTCCCAGTCAGGATACATACCTAGGTTGCCAGTTCCATCCTCAGTCCTGGTGCATCCAGGAGGCAACCATTCTCTCTCTCTCTCTCTCTCTCTCTCTCTCTCTCTCTCTCTCTTCATTAAATTTATCCTCAGGTGAGGACTTAAAAATTGAAAATGATACTAAAAGGTAAATAATGACACCAACAACTAACATTTAATGTTTTTATGTGCCAGGAATGCTGAAAAAGCAAATTACATGTATTATCTCACTTATTCTTTACTAACCAGGACTGATACTCTACTGGTTGGAAGCAGTATGGCAGAGAAGTGCACCTTATTGGTTAATGTCTGTGCATTCAGAATTTTCTAAACTATAACTATTTACAAACATTAAAATCTTCATCTTGCAGATGAGATAACTGAGGGAAAAAAATTAAGTAACTTACCCAACATCACCTAATGGGTAACAATGATGGGTTTTAAAGTGAGTTCGGTTTGACAGGAAAGCACAAGTTCTTAAAAACTATGCTCTGTTACCTCGGCATGTTTAAGCCAGGGACTCGTCCACGCACAATGATTTTCAAATTGTATTCTTGATAAATTCAGGGGCTCATTTCGTAGTGGGGACGAGAGGGTTAGGTCTAGGATCACTGATTCCTGCTAAACATTGGACAGTTTACACATAGTTAACATTTCTAGAATATTTCCTATGTGCCAGGGACTAGACTAAGCATTTTGACTCTACTAACTCAGTTCATTCTAACAGCAAGCCTGTGATATAGTTACTGTTATCATTCCTCTTTTATGGTGGGGACGCTGGCACCAAAAATTTAAGTCATTCAACTAAGGTCACATCACCAGTAAGTAGTTGCAGTCAGGATAGAATCCGAGGAGCTCCTTGCTTTTGAGGACTCCCCTGATAAAGGTCCCTAGCCTACTAAGCCGTTGAATACTACGGATCCAGCCCAAGTTTGAGGGGCGGTGCTTAAGAAAATGAAAACATTTTCCTAAGATAACATACAACTAGATAATAGAAGAGCAGATGCTTGTATCTCTGTTGTTCTCAAGACACGGAGAAGGGGCTCCTTCCCACACATCCACTTCGGTCTCCCCGTTGCCTTTCCTGTCTCTCCCTGAAGTCACTAGAGGAGCCCAGAAATTAGCCAGGAGAGGAGAGGGAAGAAAGCCTGAGCCGGCCCCGGAGCGAAGCCTGTCGCTGGCAGCCAAAAAGGGGAACCTAAAAGATACTCCTCGCGGGTGCGACACTACAGCCTCGAGTTTAGTTATAACGCTGCGGCCAGAACTAATGGAGGGCCCATTACACCGAATGTGCGAGACGACGGGAGTTACCACCCTTGGTCCCCAAAGGCGACCTGACAGCAAGGGTTTCCCCAGGTTCCTGATGGGGGTTCCGCGCTCGCGGGTTGTGAGGGTCCCACAATTCTCCGAGGCCGGCCGTTCATTCCTAGAACTCCCAGCCCTGCTCCCGTTCTCAGGGGCCCTAAAAGCACCTAGGCGAGTCCTGTCTCTTTAGTATCTGGAGTTGGCTGGGTCCCATTCACTGCTTAGAGGACCAAGCTGCGCCCCGATCTTTCTGGCCAATCGGGAGCCACGTCCTTCTGCGCTCCCCTTCCCGGCCCGCCCCTTCCGTCTCCATGGAAACGCTCTGGGTGTCTGCTCCAAGGCCTGCGGCTTAGGTTCTTTCTGGTGGGGCTGCGCCCATTGTTGGTGTAGCCGGAGTGATTTGGTATGGCCCCCTTAGAAGCTTCGTGACTGTGGGGAGCACCGAGCCAGAAGCGGACAAGGTCGGGGAGAGCTGTGGCTGAAGAATGAGTAGCAGAAAAGGGAAAGTCAGGGGCCGAGTGGCCGGTCTGGCTTAGAAATCCTGTAGACGGTGTAGGTGGGTTCTTTACTGCCTCCCTCCCCATTGTTAAAACTGAACAAGGCGAAGGAGAGACAAGGCCACAGACAGCTTGGGCCCTACGCCCGGGATATCGTACTAGGGGGTGTTGGGGCGCAGCTCGGGTCAAGGATCTGGCCGCCGGACGGAGACTGCGCACGTCTTCGCTGAGGGAGCAGAGGCCGCGCAGATCGTGGCCCGGAGTCAACCGGCAGGTCCCGCTCCTCGAGAACCGTCTTCATCCGGACACTAGGGCAGCCTGTGGCGTGCTGGGGTGCCCAAACCGTCCCGCTCTTGGGACACCCATGAATGTTTTTATTCTCAACAAAGAAAGAGGGCGCTTAATTTTATCATTTTCCCCAGGGACCTGTGATCAGCGAGGCAGGACTGAGTTGGCGAAGGCTGATGCCTCCATTTTACAGGTGAGGAAAGTGAAGCCCTAAGAGGTCTACAAGTTTGGTGCTTTCCATTCCAAAATTCCACAAGTGGTTGTTGACAAGAGCTGAGACTATGATCAGGATCTGGGATCCTTCTCTAAGACTCTGGGGTGCTCTGGTAGTAAATCTAGTGTATCTGTTGTAACAAGTAGGGAAGAACAATGCACTATTTAACTGATAAACAAAATAAGAAAAACAAACAATAGAAACTATTTAACTACCCTGCTATTATTTATTTTTATCGTTCTTAGGATAAAATAGAGAATAATAAATAGGAGAGGTTTGAGGCTCAAGAGGTTAAGTTTTATAGAGCGCCTGTATCCCTGGATGGACTAAACCAGCAGTTACCAACCTTTTTGGCACCAGGGATGGGTTTGGAAAGAGGGCGCGGGGCAGGATAGCATGCAGAGCTCATCTGAGCTTCGCCCTCCCGCCCAGTTCAGGTTCCCCAACCTGAAGATCAAACTGTTTTTATGCTCAAACTAGCGTTGTACCTTCAAGTTTCTAGAGGGTCAGAAATGAAGTACTCACTGGGTGCCGATCCTCATTGCTCTCCTGGTCGTTGAAAGGGAAAAGAAATATTCTTGGGCACTTTCTGACCTCTTTGTAGGGAATTTGGGAGTTATATCCCATTAGTATGTGGAGATTGTAGTGGGTTTGGGAATTTTAAGTCATGCCTAGTTTTTCATTCCTCCTTTCTTATCCTCAGCTCAGCATTCTCAATACACCACCCTTACCCAAAAGAAGAGCGCAAAGTAGAAAGGAATGTTCACTATTTATCTCATTGTCTGATCCCAGGTAAGTGGGATTGCCTTTTCTTATGTATAAAATGCCCCCAAATTCTCCATGGATAGTGGCAGTAGTGGAAGGGGTTATGGGAATGGATAAACCAGATAAAATAAAATACTGTATGTTCCTCACTTGGCTAGGAAGCCTCCAGTGCAGCAAGCTGCCTCCCACACACTGTCTTTTCCCAACATTTACTCAGTCATTCAAGTCTACTATATAATTCATATTGTTCTTGGTGCTCTGAGATAAATACAAGAATGTCTTCCCTTAACATTGGAGAAATAAATCATATGAAATTAATAATTTCTAAAGTTATTGCACATTAAACAATGCTGGAATGAATGGCACTTAAAAGATAGGAACAACCACTCGGATTTCAATAATCATGCATATATAGGAAGGTATCATTCCAGACAGGAAGATCACCATTTAATCTCAGGCAGAAATTGAAGGGACAAATACGGACACTGGGCTAGTTACAGGAGAGGGTATGAATGTATAAGGTAAGGCCATATTGTTGAGGGTTATTACTATTTAATTGGGCCCATGCTGGTGTGGCTCAGTTGGTTGGAGCATCCTCCCTACACCAAAAGGCTGGGGGTTCGATTCTTGGTCAGGGCACATACCTAGGTTGTGCATTTGATCATCATCAGGGCGTGAATGGGAGGCAACCAGTTGATGTTTGTCTCTCACATTGATGTTTCATGCTCTCTCTCTCTCCCTTCCTCTCTCTTAAAATCAATAAACATATTTAAATTTTTAAAAAAGATTTAATTGGTTTCTTATTCTTGTGCACCACTCAGAGTCCCCTACACATCAGCCAGCAGCAGCCATTATTGACGTACATTCATAGTCCTTTATATAATACTTAATATGCATACATATTTCCTAATCTGTACAAAATACTATGTATGCATATACAGACATCTGCACAAATATACACACATGGGTTTATCTAAGATACATGTATATAGAGAAATTAGTAGATATAAAAATTTTGAAATTTTACAAATTTGCATAAAGTGGAATCTTGTTTTTTTATTTATATAGGTTTGCTATGAAAGCTCTTCTTCATCTCTAAATCTAATATATATATAAAATCACTTTCATTTTTTCAATTTTTTTATAGTTTCAAGTATTTTAATAATCCAACTCTGAAACTTAAGCATTTCTTTTTCTTCCCACTTAAATTTTTTCTAATAACATTTCTTCATTGATTGTGGTGCTACCTTTTCATATTCAAATTACTAAATTCTTTATATATGCACATATACACATGTAACACAGATCACTTTTGCCACTTGTCCTGTTACATGGACCCATTTCTCAATTCTTGTATTGGTATCAGAATGTAATTAATCTTGCTCCTTTACATGTGGTGCATTTAATGAGTAATGAAGAGGAATTTAGCCTTTGTTTTTCACTTAGTGAGGGTAAGGAATAGGAAGGAAGACAACTTACATATTGGGAATATTCCATAGAATAACATTATGATGATTTCTATTTTGGGAAAAAAGGAAATAAAAGTTACTAACTTTTAGATATTGAATATATTAACTTTTCAGTATGTTTTATTAGTATAGCATGGTAGATAAAATACAAGCACTGGACTCACTATCTAAACTTCTTTCATGGTTCTATAACTTCTTGGTTATGCAAACTAGATTCAGTTAAATAGTCTCATCTGAACTGGGAAAATAGAACTTACTATATAGAGTCTTTAAGAAGGTAAAATGAGATCATACATGTAAAAAACTTAGTACAGTTCTTGACAAATAGAAATAACAATTGCTATTATTTAAAATATGTGTATCTGATGTAACTCTTTCTAGTCACTAAGACATAAGAATTGAGGCAGGTAATCTAGCTTAATTTTTTTTTTCCAGATGGCGTCATTAATTAAATAAGCCATCTTTCCCTCAAGAGTTTGATATCACCTTCATCATGTTTAGAATTCATTCCTATATTTGAGTCCATTTCCAGATCTCTAGTGTTTTTCATTGATTTTCTTTTCTATTCCTATTTCAACCGTGTGGTATAATTACAGAGGAATTATTCAAATTTTAATATACTATTGGGTTAGTTTCCTTTCAATATTCCTTGTTCACAATTTCTTTTTCTCACGAAAGCACTTCAAATTAGTTTGTCAGATACACTCATTCTCTCAACTTTTTAGTACTGTATCTTGATTGGGAGCCCATTAAAAATATAGATAGGTGAGATTTGGTGAGAACAAAATTATATTTCTCTAAGATGATGGGGTATTTCTAAATTCTGAAGCTATCTTTATGTAGGTTTTAAGTGTTTGTGTTAAGCTAATTTTAAAAATTTATATTTTTAAATTACTGTTGTAAATTTTATTTTAAAAGTAATTTTTTATTTTATTTAATCTTTATTGTATTATTTTCATTACCCTTTAGTCCCCTTAACCCCCCTCCCCCCAGCAATCACCACTCTGCTGTCCATGCCTATGAGTCCTTTTTCCGTTTTGCTCAATCCCTCCACCCCCAACCCCTCTCCATGATTATTACTTATATGTCCAAACTCTTTTTCTAAATTATGTAATTGGATTTTGTATATCAATTAATTTGAGTATTTATTGTGATGTATTACATAATACAAAAGATTAAATTAAAACATGTATACAACTTAAAATAAAAAAACACGGACACGCACCATCTAGACCAGCAAATACATTTCAAAGTCCTCTGATGATCCCACAGTTTCATTTCCCCTCTCTCCTAGAGACAGGCAACTGCTTTCTTAAATCTTGTGTTCATTATTTCTTAGTTTTTTGAAATAGTGTTAACTACGTACATCTGCATCTCTAAGCAAAATTGTTTAGTTTGCCTATTTTTGAACATTGTGAAAATGGAATCACTGTATATATTCTCCTGTCAATGGCTTCTTTAGCATAACGTTAGTTTTTATTTTTCTGTACTTTCTGCAACATGACGGACCAGTAAGTTCATTTATTGTCCACACTGACACCAGTTCTCAGTCCTGTTGTCTGGGTTTCTGAGCATTCTGATTTTCAAATTTTATTCATATATTCATGTGTTAAAGTAGACTTATCTTTAAAATTTTTAAGCTGTATTTAATAAACATAAAAATAAAGAGCACTGAATTTTCTCACTTTTGTGTTATTGGTGATTAAAGTTTCATTGTGTAGGCATGGATCTTTAGAATTTACTTAATCTTTTACAACCATTGTTTACTAATTTGTAAAATGAATGCAATAGTTTCTACAAGATAGGATTGCTGTGAGGATTACCTGAAATATATGTGAAGTACTTGAAATATATGTGAAGTTATCAGATGAATGCTATATAAATGTTTCTTATGATTGGTGATAAGGGTTCAATGACTATATAACGTCATTTAGCCATCTGACTAAATGTCTCCTGTTACCTTTCTTGTTTTTCTTCATTACTGAAGTTCTTTTTCTGTTTGATTTGCTACTTGTTAATGTGGTTAATGTGTTTTGTTTGTTTGTTTGTTTTGGGTTTTTTTTTTTTTGCCTATTTTCTTACTTAGATTTCTTCTTCCTGGAAAACCTGATGTTTGACCAGATGGCAGTAACATTTGAAGATGTGACTGTTATTTTCACTTGGGAGGAATGGAAATTTCTGGATTTTTCTCAAAAAAAGCTCTACAGAGAAGTCATGTGGGAGAACTACACAAATGTCATGTCAGTAGGTAAAGTTATCCCAGCTCTTAGAGAATAGTTTCTTTTGGGATCAGTTTTGTTGAATATTTGGGTTCTTTTTCTAGGTATTGTATTGAGGTAGAAGAAACAGTCTCAAAAAATAGGTCTTAAATCAGATGACAAATAGAAGATAATAAAAGCAAGACATCTTTCAAGATACCTAGGCTATATAATTAATAGTTACCTGTGATTGTTATTCTTACTTATTTTCTGCATTGCACTTAAAGCATAGATCTCCACAAACTATAATCATTTTTGTGTGGTCCTAAATTTGTTCTTACTTCATACTATTTGTATAACTTAGCTTTTGCTATATAACAAACTACCCCAAACTTAGTGATTTAACAAATTCTTATTTTTTATGATTCTAATTGGTTACATGGATCTCCCATCATGGAGTGACTTGGTTGAGGATGGATGGTATAAGATTAAGTTGGATAGCATGACTCATGCCTGGCAGTAGGTCAGCATCAGTGGGAGTAATGGGTATGGGTGGAACATATGTCCCTCTTCAACCAGGCTAGCCCAGGCTCATTTACGTGCTGGTGGCCACAGTATTTTCAAAACCAGCAAGAGAGAGGACAAGTGGCAATGCACAAGCACTTTTCAATTTTCAGGTCTCTGCTTGTATCATTTTTGCTATTGTCCCAGTGGCCAAAGCTAATTGTATAGCCAAGCCTAAAGTTAGTGTGGAAGGGGAACACTGAAAGATGTAGATAATGTAGAGAGTTAATGTGGCCATTCTTTTTACGTAATCTATGACATCATCTGAGAACAGAAAAATAAAAACAGTATTTTATTTTTAAAATAATGCTCAATATAATCTAATTAAATCTCCTCTTAAAGGCTATTTCCATAAAGCAGTCAGCCTTACTCTTATTTCTAAGAGTACCTGGTAAGTAGTAGATGCTCAAGATATGTTTGTGGAATGAGTAAGTGAGTGAATGAGTTCATATATATGCATGAACAAACAAATGAATTTCAAACCCAAACATGGAGCAGCCTAAGTCATCACCCTTCTTTCCCACTCCCACCCACACATATATCCCTATTATTCTAAAAGTCATTGATTGAAATACTTAGAAATATTTAAGCACAGGCTTCATCTCACCACTGGATTATGTCTTTACTCTCCTAGGAAACTGGAAAGAGAGCTACAAGCCCCCAAAAGAAAGATTCAGATATTTAGAACATGAAAATCTTTGTTGCTGGCAAGGTTGGAGAAATGCTAGCCCTCAGACATATGAGAACCAAAACTATGTGGAAACGATTCAAGGGATAGATTCTAAAGACCTAAAGCAGCAAGACCTTTTTCACTATCAAGAATGGTTAGTATTTTCCACACAAGTACCAGGTTATGGGAACTATGAACTGACTTTTGAAGGCAAAAGTCCCAGGAATTTAAAACATACAAAGTTTAGACCTTGGCGATCCTTAGAAACAAAACACCCTCAAGACAGTGGTAGAGAAATCTATGTGAGTGATTCACATGGTTTTCAAGGAAACAGATACTCTATTGGCATATCCAGGAAACATCTCTCCACTGAAAAAGAACAGAAGCTCCTAGTTCAGCATTCTTATGTCCCAAAAGAGGAAAGTCTTCCAGAGTACATTGAGGAGATATGCCAAAATGACCTACTGAAAGATTCTATGGAAGTGAAATACTGTGGATGTAGTCAATGTAAAGAGATTTATTACTGGAACTCAAAATGTGTTTTCCACAAGAGAAATCAACTTGGAGAAAAGTTTTGTCAGTGCTCCATTAGCACAGAATGTTTCTCTCAAGGATCAGACCTGTACAGACATCCAAGGATCCACATAGGTAAGAAGCTGTACAGATGTGATGAAGGTAACAATAACTTTAGTCGGAGCATAGGTGTTCATTTGCATCAGAAAGTCCACACAGGGAAGATTCCTTATATATGTAATATGTGTGGTAGGGCCTTCGGTCAGATCTCTAGTCTTCACAATCATCAAAGAGTCCATACAAAAGAGGAACTCTATAAACTTGAGTGCGGAAAGGACCTCAGTAGAGATTCGTTACTTCACTTTCACCAGAGACTTCACATAGGAGAGAAGCCTTTTAAGTGCAATCAGTGTGGCAAGGGTTTTAGTCGGAGTTCAGTACTTCATGTTCATCAGAGAGTCCACACAGGAGAGAAACCATATAAATGTGATGAATGTGGTAAGGGTTTCAGTCAGAGCTCAAATCTTCGAATTCATCAGTTAGTCCACACAGGAGAGAAGTCCTATAAATGTGATGACTGTGGTAAGGGCTTTACCCAGCGCTCAAACCTTCAAATTCATCAGAGAGTGCATACAGGAGAGAAGCCTTATAAATGTGACGACTGTGGAAAGGACTTTAGTCACAGCTCAGATCTTCGCATTCATCAGAGGGTCCATACAGGGGAAAAACCCTATACTTGTCGTGAATGTGGAAAGGGCTTCAGCAAAAGTTCAAAGCTTCACACTCATCAAAGAGTACATACTGGAGAGAAACCCTATAAATGTGAACAGTGTGGTAAGGGATTTAGTCAGCGGTCACATCTTCTCATTCATCAGAGAGTCCATACAGGAGAAAAACCCTATAAATGTGATGACTGTGGAAAGGGCTTTAGTCACAGCTCTAATCTTCACATTCATCAAAGAGTCCACACAGGAGAGAAGCCTTATCAATGTGCTAAGTGTAGTAAGGGTTTCAGTCATAGCTCAGCTCTTCGAATTCATCAAAAAGTTCACACAGGAGAGAAATCCCATAAATGCCATGAGTTTTATAGGAGGTTTGATCAGAATTCACATCTGTACAATAATCACAGAAAAAACTTGTAATTCTGTTCAGTTTACAGCTTTAATCAAAGCTTAACCTTAAGCCCAATAAATGCTGCTGGGAAGAAAATTCTATAAATAATCCAAGTAATCCCAAACAACATTACAGTTTCCCCTAACAACCACTAGAAATCTTTTGCTTAAAGAGGATATCTTTAGGAGGATTCCTATATATTTAAAATTAAAGTGTATTTTCTTTTTCTACTATATTATACTATGAAATATATAAAAGATTTATGGTGAAAATTCATCCTGTTTCGTTCTAGTCTTTTTTTTTTTATTTTTTATGTGCCTGAAATACTGTGTGATCAGCTTTGTGTTTTCACTGACTTCAAAACATTTACTTACATTTTGGTTTGAACTGAAATTGGCTGGGTATCTATGAAATAGCGTCTTGACTCTCCTGTAAAGTCCCTAGGAAGCCACAGAAAAAAATGAAAACACACTAAACTTGAAACTCAAAACTGGTATCTTGTTGCTCAAATGTGGAAGAATGAAAACGGTAAGTAAAATTTAATTACTTAAGACAATAGATAAGAAAACACCATATCACACTTTACGTGAGATAGGATATCAAGATGTTACATCTGTCAGCCAGAACACTCAGGAATCATCCTTTCCTTGCACGGCTGCTGCACTTTGGGGTTACCACAATGCACTCTCACCCACTGCTTTTCTCAGTTTTCCACACTCATAGGTTCAGACGCCAAGTATCAAATAACAAGATTAGTTTTCTAAGTAAGAGTGGACAAAAGCTGATAGAAGTGAATGTTAGAAATCAACAATACTACCATTGGTTGAGATTTAAGAGATCCAAGCCATAGAATTTGACTTAATCTCAATAGAATAGAGAAATATCTGCTAGAAAAAATTGATCTTAGAGCTATGTGTAAATATGAACTTAAGCTAATTGTGTAAGGAGAGAATCTGCCATTATAAAAATGGAGTAGACTCAATAGAAATAACACAAGACCTAACTATTGATATACAAATATGTTTGGATATCACTTCCCAAGAAAAAAAAGTAGACCTGCTTAGGGAAATAAGAGGAAATTGCAGTACCAAAGAGAGGAATATTATTGTAAAGACTTAGAATCCTACTGCCCTAAAAATGAACTATTTTGGTCTCCTAAAGAAATTAAAAAAAAAAAAAAATGGTGTCAGTAGGATGACAGAAAACCCAAAATCAATAAAACAAGTAGAAATACCTAAGTATATATGAATGTCTAAGATTAAAAAATATACAATTGAAGGACAATAGGGAAATTTAAAACACTGTATCAAAGTAAAAATAAAGAACAGAATTGACACTGCAGAATATCAAACACTGAAATGAATAAATGAGTTGATTTTAAATGTATAAATAAATGGTAATGAAATGGGAACAATGAGAGAAAAGATATGAAGCACAGAGAATGGAGATTCCAATGTAAGAATTAAAAGTTTCTAAGGAAGACAAAAGAACACTTGGAATAGAATCAATGATCAAAGGAATTGCTCCTGAGCTAAAAGTATTTGCTCACTAGATTTCTAGGAAAAGCAAGTATTGCAGAAAGAAAAATTCTTGTTATCAACAAAATCAAAAAGGGAGGATGGTTAAAGACCTCAGCAATAGTAAATGTCAAAAGAATGGAACACCACCTTTGGAATTAATTTAGAGATTAAAAAATGTTATCATCTACAGTTTTTTAAAATCATCTGCATTGTCTTCTATATGTACAGGTAACAAACGAGATATAAACCAGAAAACTCCTGGCTGGTGTGGCTCAGTGGATTGAGCACTGGCCTGTGAACCGAAAAGTTTCCGGTTTGATTCTCGATTGGAGCAGGGCACGTGCCTGGGCTGCAGGCCGGTTCCTCAGTTAGGGGTGTGCTAGAGGCAACTGACTGATGTGTCTCTTACACGCTAGTGATTCCCTCCCTCTCTTTCTCCCTTCTCCTCTCAAAAAAAAATTTTTTAAAAAAAACTGGAAAACAGAAAACGTGCCTTTTTTTAAAGAGCTCAAGAATGTGTCCATGATACAAAAGGACTGATGATGAGTACTAAAATTAGCTAAACATGCCATTAAGTCTGAATAATTTTACAAAACTTCAGAAACTTTAAATAGTTGTACAAGAAAATAATATACAAATACTAAGTATAAAAGCAGGTTATATGTAAAGTCTGAGTGGGAGAGTGGAGTTGTCAGATAAAAAAAGGTAAGTTTGAATTTCAGATATACATGAATAATTTTTTAGTGTACGTTCCAAATACTGCATGGGACTTATACTAAGAAATTATTTGCTCGTATTAAATTCAAATTTACCTAGGCATGCTTTTTTTAAAAAAGACTTTATTCATTTATTTTTTTAGAGGGAGAAGGAGAAGGACACATCAGTGTGTGGTTGACTCTTGTGTATCCCCTACTGGAGATCTGTCCTGCAACCCAAGCATGTGCCTTGACTGGGAATTGACATGATGACCCTTTGGTTCACAGTCTGGCCACTCTATTCACTGGGCCACACCAGCCAGGGCTGCTTTGTTTTTATTTGCTAAATCCAACAACCCTATGGGGAAAGGGCAGCAAAAGGAAGTGTGCTACATTTCTGATCTTACGTAGCAGGACTCATTACATTTGCTTCTTGACTTCAATAATTCAAGAAATATAGGTCTACTGAATATATTTTTTTACAGTGTTAGAAACTGCAACTAATAAAACTAAAATATGCCTTCAAAACGAAATAAAAAAAATCAAAGAATATTCAGTCCCTATAGCAAAAGACAGAAAAAAAAACTCCAAAAACAAGATGGCCAAAAAAGAAAAATTTAGAGAACATGAATCAAGAGAAACTAAATTTATCAAAATAGGTTAAGTCCTCCATTTAAAAGTTTTGAAACCCTTGATTGGGTTGAAAAATTTACTTATATGCTATTACGAATTAAAAGATTAAAGCAAAATGATAATAATTAACTGTTCAAGACTGATGTATTAATATAGAACAGTCTCAGGCTTATTAGACAGACATAAAGGAGTGCCTACAATATGTCTTAATAAGTTAAAATGAATGAATTCAATCCATTAAGGTGGTTAAAAATACAAAAATCAATAGTTTCTTAAACTTGGAAAAATCAGAAAATGGGTGGGAAAATATGGTTTATAAAAACACTAAAATGTCTTAACGAGGAACAAATAAGAATGTAGAATGAAAATAATGAAAAACAAAACACGATGGAAACTAAAAGAGAACTCGAATAGAGGTCTTATTTTTTTTTAGAGGGTATGTTCTTAAGTAAATTTGCTGATTTATTTCAAATATCATCAAAATCTCAATGACATTTGAAATAAAAAAAGGGATTCTAAAACGTTTTAATAGACATTGGAGAATAGCAGAGATGATTATAAGAAAGATTAATGAGATTGTCTTAACATAATAAATGATATATTGAAATTAAAATCATGGAGAATTTGATTGCACATTTTAAAAAAAGGTTCAGAATACTCAGTCACTAAATAGTTTTGAAATAGACCTGTGTATGGGTTATATAACATTTGTATATATGCTTATATACTTTACATATTAATAAAGGTCAATGACTTGGAAAAGGATTATTGAGTAAACAGTGGTGAGAAAATTATTTCTTTTGTGAAAAAATTAGGTTCTCATCTCATGACTTACAACATATATGTAAACACATATACATATACATATGCATAAGTTTTTAAGCTATGTTCCAAGAACCTCGGTTTGGTTTCATGAAGGCTGGTGTCTCAGGAACAAGAATCACAAATTTAATTCCATATTTATTTGATTTGTATATAAGATTAGCACAAGATTTCACTTTTTTAAAAAAGGCGGTTCTACCACTTTAGACAAAATGTGTAAAACTCACTAAAGTGGCTTTTTTTTAATAGTTGAAAACACACACACACATTTTTTGAGTTAGGTAAAATGGAGAAACCCAGAGACGAAACCTAGGAATTTGACCACATAAATTTCTTTTAAACTGTAGGTTAAGAACATATGGAAGTCAAGCAACAATAGGAAAAAATATTTGTCATGATTATGACAGTGATGAGTTTTTATAAATTTAATAGGTGGACATCTAGTAAAAAATGGCAAAGGATATCAACAGATTAAAGCAATGAAATACTACTTTTATTAAAAATTATAAAAGCTATTTTCAGTGAGAGTACAGAATAAGGGATATTTATACACTATTTATGTTGAAGATAAATTGATACAGACTTTTTGGAAAAACTATTTGCCAAATGATGAGCCTTAAAGTTCTTGCCACTCTTTCCTGCAGTGAGTCCATATCTACTCATATATCCTATGGAAATAGAGCTACACACTACATTAGTGAACTTCTGTTTGCAAAGAACAGAGATCCACTTTGGTTATCTGATTATAAAATAGAGTTATACAACATTACGTTTTAAAATGTCATTTAAAAAAAATCCAAGGACAGTAGCTTCAATAGTGGAACTTGCTCTACAAAGCCATTAGACAATGAGGCCTTTCAAGAACTTAATTCTCTTTAGGTGCCCTCTTTTCTCTCTACAGTTTGACCTCCTCCTGTTTATTCACTCTATGTATGCTTATAATTGCCATCACATGCCTGAATATATTTTTTCAATTCTGTTACCCACTACTAACTTGTAACTTCCTTCTGGGTCACTATTCAGATTTCTGAATGGGGGAAGATGATTGACTTGAGTTATTTTACTACCTCTGGACAAGCCTTTGAGGCCAGGCTAAACCACAGGCTACTGGTAAGCCTTTGGATCGGCTATCTTCGATTCAGATTTTCATTCCGGTCCCTGAAGATATGCTCAGCGATGGTGTTAAGGCATATAACATGATTATTAAGGACTGATGTTCAAATAGATTTCCCCAGAAAGCAGTGGGTTAGGGTCAAACACTCTAAACAACATTAGCACACATACAAAGAGAAATGAATATTCAAGATATTTATTACAGTATATTTTATGTTGACCTTTCCCCTAAACAGAAGAAAGGTCAAATAAATTA